TGCCGTCGAGCGAGGCGACAGGACACGTGTGAAAGAAGAATAGCCGAACAAGCTAGAAGCAAGTGAGACCACCCCCCCCCTCCAGCCTCTCCAAGGGCAACTGGGATCGATCCGCAACGTTCTTCGTGTCGTGGTGGCACAACTGTGAAAGGAGCCTTAGTGACAACTTTATCAGGGATGAAAGCCTTTACACCCTTCTCCTTACAATTAGCAGTTCCTTCTCCAAATGGATATTTCGACGTGATAGTGACTACACATGGAAACAACTGGGTAGTAGGATGAGAAACTACCAAAATGAATGGTAATATCAAAGGGATGAAGAGCTGGGAGCTGATATCATAAGGCGTGAAGTTCCTCCAAACATTCACATGCAATCGTCATCCGGGCACTTGATTGGGCGGCCAAAGGGTCGCGACGCGGCTGCGGCTCGTCACGACCGCGGCGATCAACTGTTTCCAGCCTGGTTTAGCCATTTTCTCCCTAATTTTCACTGTATTTTCTATTTTTTTTCTCAAGGTATTTGTGTTATTGCCTTTATGAAGTGTATTAGGACGTGGATTTTTTTCTTTCTGTTTTTGTGATGAAGTGTTTTTGCTATTCTTTAGATATTTGTTTAATTGTTTTTTGATTGTTCAATTTTTCGCAAAAATTAGAGAAATCCTAATCATTACCTTGTGAAGACAAAGGAACAACCAACCTCAAGAAAAACAGCCAAAAAAAAGTGAAAACAGTGAAAATCAGGGAGAAAAGGGGCTAAACCAGGCTGGAAACAGCTGATCGCAGCGTCGCGACCCTTTGTCCGCCTAATCAAGTGCCCGGATGACGACTGTAGTTCCACATTATCCCTCGACACGAGCTACGGAAACGGGAGTTTCATTTCGTGCATGAGCCCGGTTTTTTGCTTCTGACGAACCAACCACTATGTCCCTATGTTTTATGTAATACTTGGACCCCTCGAATACTTATTCCGCTACAGTCGGCAATGAAATAGGCGGGCTGACGGATAGTTATGCGTTTCATCATTGTTCATGCACTTTTGAGGCGGCTGCTCAAGCAGAGAGGGAGGGAGCCGTAGCACCGTTCTCAGACAATGACGGCACATGGGGCAGCGCCGCCTCGGTCGCGCGCGGGTTTCGACGCGAGTCGATAGCGATGCTTTCGGACCTGCATCGATCGGCGTACAAACGTGCGTACTGAAAAGAGCTTGCCGTCGGCCAAGTGCTGAGACGGGCCGCCGTACGGACATGTGTCTATCTCTTTTACCCCTCCATTGCGTTCCTGAGCCATTGCAAGTTAAAGATGTGAGATTTTGTTGAAGCCCAGTGGTTGTAATACCTAGTCAATAGTTGTGTAGAGTCATCTGGTCCATGCATAGTGAAAGGAATTGTCTACTACAATCTATGTAAGAAACGATAGGGCGTATGAGGGGGCGCCGCCAAGGCGGCTTTTTCCACCTACGGTGCCTTCTGAGTGCGCATTGGCGAGAAAGGTTGCTCTGACTGCGCTCACACTGCCACCCTTACATAGCGCCTACCAGCTTGTACGATCAAGCTATGTTATATATGTCGATTCTAACCAAAATAATGAGTAATAATGAGTGAATAATGAAAAATAATTTCGGTGCAAGACGAATGTTCTTTGCCCAATTCAAATATAGCGAGACCGGGTTTCGAGGAAAGTCTGCAGTTGGCGTCGCGGTGGCATCTAGCGGGCTGTTAGTCTGCATTAGCGTCGGCGGCAGCTACGACTGTTACCGTAAGGAAACCTCGGATGATCCACTACATATACGAGTCACTCGTATGGCCGAGAAAGGCCAACGTAATCCATCAGACGGAGAAGAAGAGCCGTGGTACGTAAAGGCAATGAGAGAAATGGAACTCATATGCCCACCAGGATGGCAAACATTGGATAATGAAAATTGCGTGGGTAAGTGGAGTACGGTAGCATGCGGTCAACTAACTCTATCTGGTTGTTTGCAATAACTCTCAACTTGCCGTTTCGCTCACCTTCAAGCTTCTGCCGGATCCCATCGGAAAAACTCCTGCTCATAATTAGTACCCCAATTTGAATACCCTTGTGAAGTAGAGGATCATGACTGGCGATTCCCTTTCGACTCCGCTAGCCACTTCGCTAGCTTCCTACGGTGGGACTATTTCAGAGCTACTGAAAAGAGTTGATCGTCAGAGAGCTTGTGGTGCCTGGGGCATAAGACACAATAATTTGGCTTTTGCTCAAAAATAGTATCCGGGGTGCTATGTAGTGGGAAACTGACGAAAAAGCGAGATGAAACTGGCAAAAACCTGCGGAAAAATCCTTGTTTTGCTCGGCATTGGACGATCACTCTTGGACGAGTTCTCCGTTGGCATCGTGCCAAATCGCTTTGATGGATACGGCTGCACGTATGTATTCATATATCTATGTAGCAGCGCTTTATATAGACTGTATTTCAGGCAGCGTTCAGACTTCGCGACGGCAGCGCCTCGGTCGCGCGTTCGGCGCGATCGATGCGCATGCTTTTAACTGCATCGATCGCGTCGAACGCGCGACCGAAGCGCTGCCGTCGCGAAGTCTGAACGCTGCTTCACAAATGAAGCGATAAGGTGTCCGTCGATTTGACTGTGCTGCCATCTGTGAGCATGGTAGTTGCGGTGGGCGTCATGGTCGGCATGCTACACCCTGCTTAGGCGCTTTAGCAGCGCCCTGCAAGCTGACACCGCAGAGATTTCGAAGTATCAGAGCGGTCAAATGATGCCAGTACCAGAATGGGCGCCCGTACACTACATGCCTGGTCGCTGGTTAGAATTACGACCACATTGTCAAAACTAAGCTTGACGTTCTTCCCGAACTCTCCGAGTGGCCAGTAAGTCTGCTTGAGGATTGCATTGCTGCACAGCAGCATTTACCTCACGCCAAGGCAGTATGAAAAGGTCTGGCAACAAATTTACCTGTTTGCTCATCCCGAGCAGCCCCGCTAGATCACGAAGATCGCCCTCACCATCCCCTCGCGAGTCATTTCGGCCAAGCAAAACTCGGAGTTCTGGCACCACCATGGACTAGTTTTTTGAGAAAGTTGACCTAGTCTTGTTAACCCTATGTATTGGCTCGTTCAACCCTTCCAAACACTACAAGAACTCTTGGATGAGAATCGAGTGCATGGCGCTTCTCAACAGTATTAATCGTCGATTACTTTGATAGCGTGAATTTTATCATAACACAACTAATTTGACTTGTGCTGATTTGTTGATTGCTCACTATCAAAGGGAAAAAAATTATTCTAACACAGCTTCGAATTCTAAAATTTGAGGACACAATCCGCGTTAATTGAGTGGGCGGAGACTCACAAACGACAGCGCTTTCCGTGTAGATACAGTAATTTCATTATCGTGTCAGAAGGAGCACATCAATGAGATGGACTTTAAGTCTCCGCCCATCCATTTATCGCGGAAAGATTTTTTAACCTTCACTACTAACCCCCTCTGAGCAGTTGAACTATCAACTACTAACAATACCGTGTGAGTGTAACTAACAAGGCCATTCAGACATTGATGAATGTCTGCTGTTGATGGACGATTGCCTGGAATCACAACGATGCCTGAACTTGCCGGGATCGTTCAAATGTATCCGAACGCTTTCCTGTGGTACCGGCTACGCAATGGACTCAGAAACGGAGGAGTGCATTGGTTTGCAACGGCTTGCTGTGATCTTACTGACTGTCTAACACTTACTGAGACTTATATTGATGGGATTACTGATAAGGACCTCCTTTTAGACGTGGATGAGTGCACCCTTGGTGCCCATGATTGTGGTCCACTCTATCAGTGCCGCAATACTCAGGGAAGCTACAGGTACTATCCAATTTTTTACTTCTCTCAAAAACATCTTCTCTTAAAGGCAGCGCCCGCGT